ATCTATTATCAAGCATACAAGAACTGTAGATGATTTGTTTGTTCAAGAATCAGGACAGAAAAGGAAAAAAATTATATGATCTTCAACTGTTGGTTCATAAAAGAAGGCACTATTAATTATATTTCAACGAATAAAAATGACGGTGAAGAGTCTGATCTCATGATAAAAATTGATGTATATAGAAATTCCGACATCGCAACATTGGAAAAAAGCTGATATTCGAATGAAATGTAATTCAAATACGAATAATCAAATAAAAAGTATAGTTTATACTTTATAACATCACTAAAGAAATACAGAAGTTGATAATGTAAAGCATTATTGTTTTAAAAACTTAATAATAAAGTATGACTCAAATATTAATAGACTATATAAATTAAATTACAATTACAAAAGTTTGTAATGTAATAATTTGGTAGTTAGTTAATTACACAAGTAGTTAAGTAATTACGCTTTCTTGATCTATAAATTGTGATACATTCCTTGGACTTTAAATCATTGACGAATTAACCTTGGACAATGAACGTTATGAAGGAGATAATAATGTGTGAACGTCAACTGCAAAAGAATTTATAAATGAAGAAGTGAAGAAAAATAATCTACAAAATGCTTTTTATGACTGTGCAATGGTTGAGTTATGTGTAAAAGTGGAAAAGCAATTGTAAGTATTTTTGTAATTACGTACTTAATCTTTATAAAAATTGTATTTCGTTTACTAATAAAAATGTTTTTTCTTCAGCAGGAACAATCTGGACGAGGTCATAAACGAGCACAACATGATTCTCACATGGGTGATAAGAAGCGATTTAAATCTGAAACACCATTATCTTCTGTACCGGAGACATCGACTTCAAATTATGGATGGATGGCTATGGGACTTAATACCTCAAAGTCTGCATATAACAAAGGGTAATTTAATTTTTCGCCGCAAAGTTATCAAAGTTTCATTTGCAGTCTGAAACAATATCACCACACCAATTTCTTTTATTATTCGGTACTAGGTAGATGTGTTGTGTATTGACAATCATTTTTCTGGTGGTTTTCTAAACGTTCAAGCGATGGAAAATATAACAAACAAAATCACATAAGTATTTCCTTCTTTTGACTTTGAAATTTGACTACTTATTAATCTGGATATGTTTTTTATGAAACAATAATGCCCTATGTTACCGTGCGTTCAAGATAGCATATTTATATGAGTCGGCATTCTTTTTTTTGTAAAATATAGGGAGCCTACAACAATAGGGTTTCGTGTTTGTTCATTATATTCCAAACCAAAAACATTAATATTAATTTTATTCAGATTTTAAATTTTGAAATTTATTATTACCTAACTTTAATTTATGATTGTATTTGGTGTGTGATGATACTCTATCCGAATTTTTATAAATTGGAAATAAAGCAGATAATAGTACTCACTTAAAACAGGCGTCATCAGTGTTTTAAACGAATCACAGCTTTTTTTACTGTTATGTCATGCGGTAATTCAATAAAAGATTTTCCTCTTAAAGGTTTAAATTGATTTAAATTCATCCAAATGTATCATAAATCTGGTGTCTCAAATTGTAAATCATTTTGATTTTCTGAAGTTACTCTATTGGTTATTATTCTATTACCGATCGCATTCTCAATTATCTTAACATTGGGTTTTATTGAATGTTGTATTTTATCTACATTGTTTTTGTGTGCATTGCACCGTAGATGACTAGCGAAATATTTTTTGGAAACATTTGTATCACAAATACAGCAAAATTTCGTGTTAGAATCACCTTCAATCTATGTTCATTGCTCTTGTGCAGTTAACAGATCAGTTAGATCCAGATATTATTCTTTTGATTATCTCTATCGAATTGAATTTTACTTTATTTAACTGTTAGAAATGCGAATAGAGAAATAAAAAAAACTTAAAATATGATTATTAAATATACTCGAAATTTCCCATCAAATTCATCACATAGCACCATCTAGTTTGACCATGAAATGAGTGATTTAAATCATTTCTTTCTATTTCATCCCAAACATTGAAAAGTTCAATTGTATCAAAGGATAAGCTCAAATTCATGATCCATTTCATCAAAAAAAACACTATCATCGTTTCACAACAATTTTTTTTCGATGCACACTTTTTAGATTAATGCGGTAAGTTGTTTAACGAAAAGCACAATTATTGACTTTGTATAATGCAACATAGTGTTTATACTAGTGGATAACTGAAACATTACTTTATCAAATAATTATATATTAGATTTTTGTAGTTAGTAAGTTAATTACTAATTAAGTCATCGTATTAAGAAACTAAATTAACTTAATTTTGAAAACTCTAATGTTTTACACTATCTTCCTCGGATATCTCCTTTGTTATGTTATACACAATATCCTTTATCTTAAGATCAATTTTGGAATCGTTTTTCATGTAATATTTAACACGAATATCTGCAATTTTCCAATGTTGTGAGACTGAGATTTCTTTCAACTTTTTAAACTATATATTTCAATTTTCACAAGTACATCAGCGTCCATTCCATCATCTTTGTCTGATGATATATATGAAATGCTTCTCTCATTCCCTGCACGGCCAACAGTTGAAGAAAGTTTAGTTTTTTCTTTTTCTGGTCAGTCTGGAAAATTGTCATCTAAACGATTGGTCATCTTATTTTTACTTACTGTTATGTTTGAAACCACTTCTTCATCAGATAACACATAATAATAATAGGCCTGAAACATTTTTCCACATCTTTGAGGTTGAATGAAGACTGAAATATAACATAAACAAATCAAAATGTGTTTTAAAAAATAAATAAGAATTTATTGACACCAAAATTTAAAAAAAAAATTTGTTGTATATTATTTCAAACTTATATTGAAATAGATAAGAACAGAAATGTATGTGTGGATTATATACGTAGTAGTTAAGAAATGACTTTTATGTAATGTAAATTGAGAATAATAAAACAGAATGAAATATAATAAATAACAAATAGTTTCTTATTTATACTTTCCCTACTTTTCTAAATAAATGCATATAAGATATTACATATATTGGGATGACAATACAACGAGATGTTAGTTTAGGTGGATGATTGATAGGATTTGGAATCGTATTTAGTGCAATTACCATAAGAATAATAAATCGATTTTTTTTTAAATGTTTCAATGATTTTTAGGCTATCCACCTTAATAGGCCGATTACAACAAAAAAAGACCAATTAAGTTACTTTTTTTTTTCTATGATTTTCGTTGCTTAGAACCCTGCGGAGTTTTTTAACTTAGCCAGAAGCTGTGGAACCTTCTTTTTGTATTTTTAAATTGAAATCGAATGTTTGGGCAAATCCAAATAAAAACTAAACTTCTAACTTTAAAACCTTTTTTGAGTAGCTTTAACAAATTTTAGGAAGCTGAGATATTTTTTTTATTTGAACAACATTTATGACAATCATTTCACAGAAAAAAACTGCAAAATACCTACAACAAAAAAAGATATACATTTTTGAAACCTCGCTGGCAGAAAACATAAAAAAAACACAAAAAAATATAACTCGTAAGCTACAAAAAATCGCGGCACATACATGGGGTATTTTCGTAAAAAAAATTATTGACGTCACTAGTTGGACCACCCTGTATAAGAGTAGAAGGTCAAACGCGTTGGACTAAAAATGAATACTTTAAACTTGCAAATGAGTCTCTATAGAATCCAATCACAGCCTCCAGTATAGCGTGCACCCGTTGAATCGCCTACCAATGAACATACACTTCCACATTTATTATATGCAATCTCGACCCTGACTCACAACCAGGCTCTCATTGGGTAGCTATTCATATCAACCACGAAAAAGTTGGAGAATATTTTGATTCCCAAAGGAATCCGATAACGTAAACCGATTAAAGGATTTTTAAGAAGAATATGTCGCGTGTGGACTGTAGAGGTATACAGCTAGCGTTCAGGATATCTATTCTGCGCAAACAAAATGTACAAATATGTACTACAAGTTATGGGGTTTCAGTTTGGAAGATTTCCTTAGAAATTTTTCGTTTGACTCACAAAGAAATGAAACGGCACTAGTAAAGTTGTATTGTGACGTTATACAAATAAACACATAAAACATGGAAATCAAACTTATTTTTAATTTTCAATCAAATCCTTTTCCCGTCATTGCATTGACCGTGTTTTAAGGTGCGCTTACACGGGCAACTAAAATTGCTCAATTCCAGTCAATACTCGTCAATTATGACGTCACGACTACATCAAGCAATTTACGGCAACGGCAACAAGCATCAATACTGCGCAATACAATATTGAGCGATATGGCGCAACTTCATCAACTAGGCAATACTGTCATACACGAGCATTTCAGTTTTCGCTCGCTATGGACGACATTGTTCTTGCTGCGGCGGTTTGTAGCGCTTTTTTTATCATTAATCAAAAACAAAAAAGAAAGAAAAGGAATAGGCGATCGTTTTTGGCAAATAGGACAAAATTTTCATTATGTAAAGATGATATATTATTCAAAAACTTTACTAGAATGTCACGAACAGACTTTGAATTACTTTTGAATAAAGTAATTAGAAATTATTATTATTTAGACCTCTCCTCGCGGAAGCAAGACGGCAAGCCGCAAAACAAACAAGTGCGAATGAGACATATACAAAAATTGCTAGGAATTTCCAAGTCCATTGGATATTCGTCAATTCGTATCTGCGACATTGAGCGATATGAAATATCTGGAGCAATTAGAAGCAATATCGCCGAAATAATTTATTGCAATTTATTGAATTTATTGAAATTGCTCCATTAATTGCTCCAGATCGGTCCATTCGTGTCGCCGAGCAATTATTGCCCTCGTGTAAGCGCACCTTTAAGAGTATACAAGATGGCGGAGTCTCTTGTCCATTGAATTAGTATTTTGATAAATATTTTTGGCCCACGTGATTGTGGAATTTGAGAAAGATAATTATATGTAATGTCAAAAAGCGGTACAATTGAAAAAAACATTTATTTATAATTAATTTATTAACATAAATAGTGTAAGTGTTATCAAAAGACTTCCGTAGATTGTTGTTCCCGAAGAAACTGAAACAAAAAATATGTTTTAATTGTGCAATAGTTTAGAGCGGAGCGGTGTTCCCCCATTTGCTTGCTTACTTACACTTACCACAAGTATTCAGTGTTTCAGAATAGGGATGGTCGAAGTCACACTGGCAACGTCCATTTCTGCATAACACGATTTCTGACATATCGCTCAAGTAGCACTCACTTGTTCGTGAACAGCCTTCGAATAAACCTAAAAAAGTACCGCTTTTATTTACTTCAGATCTTTGGAGTAAGGCCTTTTCATATATTTGTATTGGTTTGGCCTTTTGTATTTAGAAAATGAATAGATTTAAGACCCTTTTTTAAAATATAACTACGCCTTTATAAGCAAAAGGACTCAACTCACTCCAGGCACTCTATTCATAGATCCGGGTGAGCAATAAAAAAAATGTCTTTTATGGAACATAAGCTACAGGTATCGGTAGACATCCCTACTCATCGGCAAGAAGAGAGGGTGTAGGCCGAGAGAAAAAGCCTGCGTAAAAAACTATCAAACAACACTTATTTTAAAACAAATATCGCAAATTAATTAGAAGTAGCCTGTCTAGCACTAGTCCCAGGCCCTTGTATAAACTAGATAATCGTTAACTTTATAGTAAGCCTTTTTACACAGCTTTTCTTTAATACATTTCTTAAATTTATTAAAAGGCAGAGATAAAAGAGCCTCTGGTATTTTATTAAAGAAAAGTATCCCTTTTCCAAAAAATAATTACTAACTTTAGATAGTCTAGTACGGGGAAATTGCAGCCTGCGTTTGTTCCGAGTATTAACATTGTGCGTACCCACTAAAACCACCTCGGGTAGTTCCAACACTATAAAGAGGTCATCAGGGTTGCTTGCGGTTCTACTGAAACCACTTACTAGACTATAAATACATTACCAGTGATACGCCAGCATTTTCCATCTCTGTAATGATGATCGGATATACAAGCACATAAGCCGTCGACACAATTGACAGCTTCGCCCATGGACGCTTTACACTGGGCTGATACAGTACATGATGCATTTATACCGGGGGAAACTAGAAATTAAACGAAAGCTCAGTTAATATGAGGTAAATAATAACAATTGTAAAGTACAAATATTACACTACATTTTTAAAATGCGTATTTGTATTATTAAGTTTTTTCATTTTATTTTTGAAGTTAGGGGGCGTCCATAAATTACGTGAGGTGTTTAAGGGGGGGAGGGGGTCGAATCAAATCTCATTTAATCTAACGTTGGAGAGAGGGGGGGTCTCTGCAAATATCACGCAATTTTTTTTCTGATTGAAAAAAAAAAACTTAGAAAAACGGTTGACCATCTCTGCAACTTCCCGCTAACTCCATAAATAAACGCTCAACATTTCACTTATTTTGTTTTAGTCGTAAATAAGTACACGCACCATTTTTTTATTAATTCTACTAAGTATAATGTCTGTAAGTAATCATAAAAATCAAATATACAGTATTTACAATTTTCTCAACCATAGATAAAATAATTAAAAATTAATAAAAAGAAAATTAAAACAAATTTGAAAGTTTGGTCCCTGTGGCAGTGTACCTTTAACGCTGGCCTTTCCTCGCTGTATTGCGATACTTATTCGTTGAGCGAGGAAAGCACCATCTCTCTCACCGGTACTATTCACCAGGCGCCAATTTAAACCCTTAATTAGCGCATGAGCTCTTGAAACCCACGGCCTATGACTCTCTAGTTAGTTTCTTAATCCAGTTTATTGTCGTTTATTACACAAAATACTGGTATTAATGTGAAAAAGCGTGGCGCGCTCTGTGCCATATTTTTCGTCTATCCAGCAACCCACGCTTTTTCACAATAATACCAGTATTTTTTGTTCATTACCATTTTCAACCTAAATTTGGAATTATTTTTATTGTATCTTTTATCATTGTAATGTTTCCCCTTTAAATGTTGTGCACACTTGTCATCGACGCATGTGTGCACAACATGTATTGTGTTTTTGTATGTCGTATGTTCTCTGTAAGTGTCTGTATGTTTTTCGATGTGTGCCTTTTATACATAACATAAAATTATACACCTAAATCTTCTATTGTTAATCGCGTTCATACAGACCCGTGCGGCCGGGGGATTTTACTATAAAAAATGTCTTACCATTAAAACACTGCTGTTCATATGCAACAAGGCCGTCATGACACTGACAGGTCAAACCATCAGTTGTGTTTCTGCATGCTGTGTTCTCTATTACGCAGTCCGTGTCTTGGGTACAGGGTCCGCCAATAACTGTAGAAAAACAAGAGTGCACAGGCAGTAGTGACCAAAGATGTTCAAACTCAAACTCAAAATATCTATTTTCATATAGGTAAAAAAGGACACTTATGAACGTCACAAAAAAGTTCTATTAATTGTAAATTTACATTTACTACCAGTTCGCATTGGCGTAGAGCGGGTAAGAAGAACTGGCAAGAAACTTTCCGCCACTCTTTAATTGCGAAGTTTTGAGTCATACAAATTGTTTGAACTAAAGAAAATCATCAATCAATCAAATCATTTAAGTATTCGTCATATTTATAAAAAGCTTCATTGATTAATTTACGTTTAACACCTGCTGTTTTCATAACAGCAGGTGTACACGCTGAATGATTTGCAAGTTTTGTTTTGTTCTTACTATATAACTTAGGAGTTCAGGCACCACTCATTGGATTTTTTTTATAGAACAGGGTCTAACGGGCAGGAGGCTCATCTGATGCTAAGTAATACAGCCCATGGCCATTCTCAATGCTAGAAGGCTCGCGAGTGCCTTTAAGAATGGTACGCTCTGTGAACGGTTCCACATAGTGGTGATGAGCAGTACGCAGTCGTCGGATGTCGGACGTCGAGTTTCTTCGCGAATATAACAGAATAAACAGTACTTATTGCTTGATCTAATCGGATCCTATCTCGCAAGTACGTGATTAACCAACCAACCTGACTCACATCGTCAACTTTTTGGGCCTAACGTATGCCGATTTCCTCACGTTGTTTTCCTTCAGCGAACCTACAGTGATGAGAGTCGCACGCTGAAGCCACTAGGCCAACACTGCTCCCAATATCAATATAAATACGTACGTTTAACGTAAATTAATCAATAAAGCGTTTTATAAATTTGACGAATATTTAAATGACCCTAATCTTGGGATTGATTTGCTCCACTTCAAACAATTTGCATGACTCAAAACTTGGCGATTAAGAGTGGCGGAGGGTTTCGCTAAATGTAAATTTAGAATTAACTTAACTTCTAATTCCGCTAAATGTAAATTTAGAATTAACTTAACTTCTTTTCTGACTTGTACCTGTACTTGTTTACCTATATGAATAAAGTTATTTTGAGTTTGAATAAGCTGCGTCGTCGTCGAGTGGGTAACTTTGATTGAATCAAAAAAGTTTCCCATCTAGGCCTTACCTGGAGCACAATGATCACTTTCCTGTTGAAATCCTTCAGCACAGCTGCATTTGTTGTTGGTACAAATCGAGTTCTGAGTCCCGGTACACTCTGAAGTCGCTTGACAGGCGTCACCGAGACCTGAAAACGTTTTAACTGTATATTAAGGAATAAAAACATGTGTAAGCCAAGCCTCTGTAAGTTTTGCCAGTGTTTCTTAAGGGGCCCACACCCCACAGGGGGCAATTGGATTATTAAGGCAATTCGAAAATGGATTCGACGTTTTTCTATATGTTTTGAAAATTGACTTATTTGTTTATTTATATTTAATTATACTAACATCTTAAACTAAATCATACATATAAAAATGCAGGTTACATATTAGGCAACGGGCGGCCTTATCGCTAACAAGCGATTTCTTCCAGGCAACCCTAGTATGGAACAATAAAAAAATACATACAGAGGGTAAAATACAAGAAGTGCATAAATAATTAACAAAAAAGAACATAAAACTACATGTAACACTAACTATAACTAAAATAAAGTGAAATCTAATAATAATAATAATAATATATATATATATATACTACTTCTATATATATAGAAGTAGTTAATTACGAGGCAGATGATAAAAGCTCAAAGATAAGGTTTTTAAATAAATTAAATTAAAAAAAACTTATTGAGTTTCGTTAACAATTTCCTCGTAAAAATTATGAAAAGGGCATAAGAATTTTAGAAAGATTAAGGTGGGGCACAAAAAAGGTTAGGAACCAATGGTCCAGACCCAGGTATAGTACCAGGAATTAATTATGAACGAAATAACGGCCTTTGATAATGATTGGATGAACAGCAACTGTGGTTTCTCATACGCGACGTGATAGATATTTTCCAGGAAATTTAGTAAAAGCTCAGTGGTCTGTGCATGTGTGTGATATGTGAGCACCATGAATCTACATAATAATATAGTAATACACCATGCGTGTATTTTATTTTATTTTAGTTTACATATAATTATCAAATCTATGTATACAAAATATTGCTAAAACTGTTTTAAAAGAGTAAATATGGAGATTCTTGCCCATTCCTCTCCATATGAAACTACGTTTTGAAAGGGGCAACTAAAGTCATTATTTGATATATTTTTAACTTGTAATTTTGACATTCAAAGTGCCTTTTAACAGGCCAAATTAAAATAAATCAATTTGGCTATATACAAGATTATAGAAGTCCTACCAAGTCCAGATGAAAGGCACAGTCCATCCACCTCCGTCAGATGTGGCGGACACCTGCAGAATCCCTGGCCTTCTTCATTCTTCACACACGTGATCTCCAGCTCTCCAGCCAAACAGTCGTTGTCCACTTCGCAACCTTCCCCTACGCCTGTTAAATATAAACTCCATCAGTGAAGTCGGTCTAATATTCTTGAAGTACAAAATATTTAAAACATAAAATTGTAAACTAACTTGATGTACCTACTCATAGGAGAAAATTTAATATACATATGTTAATAATTTATTAATTTTATTTTATATAGATTATGTCATCAGGCATAAATGTTGTATATCGTGGAGATAAGAATTTAGTACGAAGTATGCCCACGACCTGACACACAGCAGTATTGGCCTAAGGGTATCATACTTTCATGTTTTTGAATCACGGCTGGGAAACCAATGGAATTTTCTTTCTATGTGGGCACTGCGGGCACAATCACCTGCTGATGTATGAAATAAAAATGATCCAAGACCCATGGTAAATGCAGAAGAAGATGCAGAAGAAGAAAGCGAAAATTGAGAACCACTTTAAGTTTTAAAATTCTTACCGGCGAACAATCTACATATATTCTGATTCTGATTCCATACAGCATTCTCCGTGATACATTCACACGAACGCATGCCCCACGGCTCCCTTGGGGCACCACAGCGGGACTGCGCCCCAAAAGTATGACATTGTGCGTCCTCCATGCAAGAGTCCGTGATTCGACGGGACACTGCAATATTATTTAAATTGTACAGCCTTGGTATACAATAGTTATACCAATGTCACCAAGACACAATAGTGGACGATTTAATACATACTGGGTGGCGCAAAAGTAAAGACCCTATTTAGTTCAGCTATAAAAAAAATTCTAAATTAGAAAACTAGATTTTTTTTAATATTTGTGCCATTAAATTTCGTACCATTAGGATTTAAAGATGATGTCTTTTAAATGGTGACCTCCAGAGTTGATGCACATTTGAGCCCTATTTATGACACTTTCATAACTTGCCGTAATACTACCTGCGATATGTTCCTTATTTCTTGATGAATGTATTCTTTTAGAACTGCGAGAGTCTGTGGCTTGTTCACATACACCCGAGGTTTCAAATGACCCCAAAGAAAGAAGTCTGGACTCGTCAGATCGGGTGATCTTGCAGGAAATCGTCGACGAAATTCACGTTGTGTTTTTATCACTGATGAATTATTCCGTAAGAACATTGACACGATTATTTCACGTTCTTGGGGAGAATACATGAATTTATTAACCAGAAGTTATTATACAATAAAGTAACAGAATTTATTTGCTACACTGTAGATAAATTTAGTTACTATATTAAATAAACAATTTTGAATTTTGAATTGTCTTTTGTAGCTAATAACATTTTAGAAATTTAAACGCCAATTTATTACATTTTTAGCATAAAAATAAAAATATGTTTATTATGATATATAAAATACATATATTACACCTCATTGAATTTGTATCGGTAGACATCCCTACTCATCGGCAAAGAATACAAAGGTCGGGAGAAAAAGCCGGCGTAAAAAACTCCTGGTAAAAATAACTCTTTCGATTTATAGAATACATACCTATCAGCAAGCTTACCACTTATCGATTTCAATGACTCAATAAGTAGTAGTACATTCATCTAAATAAAACCCAATTCCGAGTAATCATTCTTGAAGTGATATTCAAAGGTCCTGTTATAATTTATAAATAAGTACCATAATCTAGTCTGTGAGCAGTGTTGGCTAGTGGCTTCATCGTGCGACTCTCATACCTGAGGTCGTAGGTTCGATCCCTGGCTGTGCACCATTGCATTTGCTCAAACGGTGAAGAAAAACATCGTGAGGAAACCGACATGTCTTAGACCCAAAAAGTCGACGGCGTGTGTCAGGCACTGAAGGCTGATCACCTACTTACCTATTAGATTTAAAAAAATGATCATGAAACAGATTCAGAAATCTGAGGCCAAGACCTAAAGAGAGCAATTTATTTATAACGCTTTTTCGAAGCCTTACCCCGTATACAATTTATCATATCTTCATGATAGAAGAAATTCGATGGACACGAGCAGATGCCATCAATAACGACCGCAAGAAGACCATCACATTGATCAGGTGTTGATGGTGTACCGAGTTCTGCGAAAATAAATGGTGTTCATTGCTTTGATCTCTTCCAAAAGTGTAAGAAGTGCATTTCGAAATTAACAAAAATAAAATTACAAGTAACACTGGAAAATCTTACAATTACCACACTTAGACTTTTTTATTTTATTTTATTAATTTATTATGAATAAAATGAACTAAAAAAGTAAATAATAATCTTATGGTTCAAGAATTACAATTCAAAATGCAATACAAAATAATAAGAAAACACTTTAATTACAAAAGTCACAAAGTCAGTGCAACAAAACAAAAAAAGGACCTACTTTACGTATAAAATATAAAGATATATTAGAATACCTGCGAAACATTTTCCATTGTATCTATAAAAGCCCGTTGGACACACACAGGCTCCAAAAGTGCATGATGCAGGTGATTCACATTCAGTGTCACTTGTGCATGTGGTATTGTGAACTGAGTCCACTACTCGATCAGAGAGGGCGCTAGCCTCTTCAGTAGCGAAGTATAATTCATTTAAATCTGAAATAAACCATGTTATATAATTAATTTTACATATATTTACGCACACACAAATATAAAGTAATTACAATATTCTTAACCTATATAGTAATAATAATAATTAATAGTAATAAATAGAAAATTAAACAAATTTATAAAGTTTGTTCCTGTGGCAGTGCGTCACGCGAGATGCCTTCGTCCCTTCGAAACGTTATTCAAGGACATTTTTTTTCTATATAAAGAATAATTTAGAAGCTCAAACTATATGTGGGTAATGTTAAATTACTTAAATGGGGGTTCAACGACCACTATTGAAGGGTTGACATGTTTTTAAGCTTTCGTAGAATATGAATACTCCTAATTAAGAATATCATAAGAGTATAATACACCCTCATTTTCACACCACCACACAAGACAGACAGAGTTAGGTATTACGAATTTAATAAATTTTATTGATTTTTTCCTGTCGATCTTATGGATTCCATCTTTGGCTTTATCTTTAGAAAATATAATTGTTTTATTAAGTAAACTTGTTAGTTTTAGGCTTACGAAATAAATAAATAAGTAACTACTTTTAGGGCGGAAGGGGAGTTATTTTTTTTCCATTCCCTTCTGCTTTTTCTGTCGCACCCATTCCGTTTCTTCAGCCAGTTCTTCTTCCGTTTCATACTGAATTGATTCAGCGACTGCCTCGTCTCTTCATGTTAAAAACTGTTCTACTTCTGTTCTACTGCGTCGGCGCGTTGCACTTTTTTGATCACAATGATTAATACGCGCCTCTTGATCTGTACCTTGTGGACCTGGCCTATTCACCAGTCTTTGTGGACCTGTCGTCGTACCTGGCCACGTGATCTTTGCTCTTTTTCGGATATCTAGATTTCTTATTTTGTCCTTATGCTTTTTAGCTTCTAATTTTCTCTTTAATTACAAAAATACCCTTGAATATTGTTTCGAAGGGTCAAAGGCATCTCGCGTGATGCATGTTAATTAAACCATGATTAAGCAAATATTAACGTTTAAATTACTTAATTAACCGAGCCATATATTGTGTTAAATGGTACTTTGACCTTTGTATCTTATTTATTTTCGTAAAGTGAAGTTTCACATGTCCTATAACCTTTAGATGGGTATCCCTATATATATATAATACCTATATATATATAGGGATATATACAGGGTGGTCAAAAAGTCGTGGATCAAACGCAAATCCCCTGATTTAGATGAGGTCATCAGCTGCAAAAAAATGTTTTACGGGAGGTCTCTAAGCTCAAGCCCTGCAGAGTTATAATTTATTTTGCGTTTTATAAGAAAATTGACTTTTTTTACTTATTCTTATTAAAATTCGATAAAATCTACATCCTGTATCTTTTTCATAATATCCACTAGATTGGTAATGATGAGTTCTTGCGTTAGACATACTATTTATAGTTGTTTATTGAGTGTATTGAAGATAATATTAAGTTATACGATATACATTTTTTTTTAATTATAACTTTTTGTTTACTTCGGCCCCACTGTGAAAAAAAATTACTCTACCGAAAAGTGACCCTGTATTGCAAGTTTTGGCGCATTTAATAGGGATTCTGAAAAGGTATTACACATGGCCATGAGACGCTCTTATATCTTTCTAGGACGAAAAAACAACAACAACGATTCGACTTATGATAGATTATTTACCTACCTGTGACCAGTGTTGTGAGAATCGGACTAGATTAAAAAAATTGGTCACTTAACTATAATTGAAACAATCCTAATTTAATTGTGACTTACTTATTGTTTCGGATCCGTCGGTGCAGTTAAAATATCTAATATCACAGACTGCTTCAGGAAATTGACAATCTTCATTCGCTACGCACCCGTCGCCTACAGCTGTAAATTTACTATACTTAAGTCTGTAATCTATAAAAAATTAATCGCAAAACTCGAAGACAGGAGACCAATTCGAGTTGATTTTTATTTATTTCTTGAACTCTGAGTAAGGTTTTTATTTAAGATTCACGCCTTTTGCGCGCATTGTCTTGGACAAAGGGTTAGGGCGTCTATGCGTCGGGTTGTCTCTCTCCCTAAAATATGGCGATGGCTGGCCATGCGTCATACTAGTGAACGGGTGCTACTTGTGGTGACTGTCGTAGTTGAATGTGTATGGGGTGATGTTAGTTATTTCGACTATGTAGTCTAGTCGACAAGTTGAAAATGGAACAAAATAGAGATACTGCTCTTAAAATTATGTGCGATAGCTCATTGGATCCGGAATGACGTCTAGAAAAATGTGCTAAAAGCGTGTATTAGCACATAAAAAATGGCAAAAGTTATAGACAATTAAAGATGAAAAAAAAATGGCATTTAGTTTTTTGCCAATATTTAATAAACTATTAATATTTAAGAAATTTCAAATAAAGATTCTGAAAGAGGAGGAAATTTCTAATAAAAAACTCCGAACTCCCGGAACTCTATCTCCATTATTTATAATTTTAATTTAACGCTGAAAATAGGTCTGCGGGTGAAATTTTTAGGATTCGCGCGTGGCGTCAAAAGCGACTACGGCACATTAATTAATTTATTTAAGGTATTGAATATTTTTTTTAAATTTGAAAAAATTATGGTGTGTTCTGAACACTATAATTAATTTATTCCCGTTGAAAATTTTACTTAAAGTTAATTTTTCAACAAGTTAAATAATTGTTAACTAACGAAATTTTCTCGAACGACCGTCTTAATTGTAAGTGAAAAAAAATGTTTAAATAATGGTCGTAAACATATTTCGCTTCGTAGAGCCTTTCTTACATACATACTTAACAAGATCGTGCCATAAAAGTTAAAAAAATATTTATACTTTGTTTATAACAATTTTTTTACTCAAACAAAAACTTAAAAATCCATGTAATGTTGTTAAAAAAATTTTTTTTTTCTAAATCATCATATAATTGTTTTTTTATTAATACAAGATATTTATTGATTTGCAAAAAAAAAAATTCCCGCCATTTGTTGATAAATTTTTTTTAAACAAATTGATTAAATCAATATTTAAAAAAAAAATTTAACAACTTTATTACATTAAAAATTTCATGATTTAAAAAAAAAATTTTCCTTAATAACAATTTTTAATTGTTTATAAGCGTTTTTCTATTATTTAAATAATTAGTTAAGAAATTTTTTTTTTCTAAAAATCATAATTCACAGTCCTCTATAAAGTAACAGAAAAAAAATTTTTTTTAACCAACAATTCTATTGTTTATTAACTTACCAATTTGTTATAAACAAATATTCAACTTTTTTTTATTTTTTTTCTAAAACTTCTAAAATTAACAAAAACAACCATATATAACAAAGTATAGTCTAGTTTTTTATTGGAAATTTCCTCCTCTTTCAGAATCTTTATTTGAAATTTCTTAAATATTAATAGTTTATTAAATATTGGCAAAAAACTAAATGCCATTTTTTTTTCATCTTTAATTGTCTATAACTTTTGCAATTTTTTATGTGCTATTAACACGCTTTTAGCACATTTTTCTAGACGTCATTCCGGATCCAATGAGCTATCGCACATAATTTTAAGAGCAGTATCTCTATTTTGTTCCATTTTCAACTTGTCGACTAGACTAATGTGTTTGCGTGTTGTTCCCACGATAATATATGTGCGTGCTCCTATTTCACCTAAGAAGTCGTGTGGAACATGGTGTAATGGTTGCAGCTCCTTACGAACGTTGTGTAAAACAAAAAAACTTGGCGATTAAAAATAGTGGCGGAGAGTTTATTGCTAGTTCTTCTCTTGCGCCCTACGCTCTTGATTTGAGAACTGGCAGTAAATGTAAAATTAGAAGCATTTAATGTATATTTCTTTTTTGACGTTCATAAGTGTACATTGTGTTACCTATGTTATGAATAAATGATTTTTGACTTTGACTTTGTTATAGCGCCAAATGTTTTTTTATTTATGTGCATTAAAACCAAGAGCTTTTTTAAGTGACTTTTTACCAAAGCTATACAAGCTTGAAAGGAAAGAGAAAGAATAAAAGCTAAAGAAACCTTAATAAGGAAAGCGCTAGTTGATTAGTTTTTCTTCTACATAGGTATATAAAAATAAATGACAACTGTCAAAATATTTTAGTTTGTATATCGTGGCCTAATTTAAAAAAATCTTTGTTTCTTTCAGATGTCAGCAAAATACCGTTCCCAATTTTCCTGCACTCGCCCCTCTGACGTTCATAATACCCGTCAGCACACACACAAACTCCATCACACTTGAGGGCATATGGGTCGCGTGGTGTTGTGATACACTCCTCATCTCTATGGCAGGTCTCCCTGTAATCCCTGGTCCTCCAGCACCGTCCGAGGAAGTAGTGATTCCCTTCCATGCATTGACATGTTCCCTCTGTAAGAGTAGCAGCTTTAATTTGCGTCCTATTTTTAAATGTATGTAAAGAACGTATCTGTCAAAAATATTTAAGATAATCATAATAAAACAAATTTAAACAGTTTGGTCCCTGTGGCATTGTACTTTTAATGCTGGCATTTCCTCGCTGTATTGCGATACTTATTCGTTAAGCGAGGAAAGCACCGGCTCTGAGGTCACTGGTGCAACCAGGCGCCAACTAAAGTAAATCTTCAATTAGCGCCTGGGCACTATACCACGGCCCAAGAGTCTCCAAAGAGAACATTATCGAGGAGGAAAGAGTCATTTATTTTTCGCCTGATCTGTGGCCACGCCTTATATACGTTATATATTTATATTATTCCTCATTTAAACATGAATTAATACATTATTTATAATCGTCGGATATAGATATGTACTCACCTAACTAAAGATAATATACAAATACCGGCAAACATCTTGAACAAATGTCCTTGCCTGCGCAGAAGCGATTTTTAGGTATCACTTCGGGCGGTGGTGCGCGGCGGCGGGAGAGTGACGTGTCGATCGCGTGATTGGTAAATCAGTTGACGTTTGTGTCCCGCGATCCTCAAACTTTCCCCCACTCCCGAGTTAATACTCAAGAAGTTTGCCGGCGTCTGTACAAGATATTTTAAATATTTTGAGGAATGCGTTAATTTACCTGTGTTGTTGTCTGCACGTCTACATTCGTAGTTGGCCCACAAACGGCTGCACTGGTTTGTTTCGAAGCATGGCGAAGAGTGATATGGGGCAACTGAAAAAGTAAATATGAAACTGGTCCTGAGTTTGATTCCCAGCAAAAAATTATTATATCGTACAATCCTGAGCTTGTTCGAACCCCAACAGTGCACCAATGGACTCTCGCTGGTTCGGTGAAGGAAAACATCGTGAGGCATGGCTTTGACCAGCAATTCCCAAAGTGGGGCCCACGGGTCAAGTACATTATAAAGAGGGGCTTTTTTTTATGTAATTTTTTTGTGTTATATCGTTTTTCTTACTGTTTTCTTCCTAAAACTAAGTGACTAATTCAATTTTTAATATTAAAAGTTATGTATGTTAATTTTAGAGGTCCTAAGGTGGGCATAAAACAAAGCGCAAGTCATGCGCAGGCTATGTTAACTTACAATAAATATCTGTATTTACATAACATGATCACCAAAAGATGCAGAAATATGAAATTTCAAACTCACCGCCAACACACTGTGTTCCTCCAGAAACGGCTTCTTGACCTGCGGGACACTGGCATAATCCAGCAACGCACACGCTACCAGCCTGACTGGAGCAATCCAGGTCACTCGTGCATGTCCATAGGGACACAGACACGTGGATGAGAGCCACTGAAAATTACAACCAAATAGGACTTTTCAAGTAAATTGTTCACGTTTTTGAAGTGAAACTTCATTAGGCGCATGAGGGTAAATTTTTTATGTGCAGCGTTTTTGTTGAAGAAGAGGGAGAAAGCGAATGAGACCGATTGAGAGAGAATGAGAAGGGCGAATTACCTTACAGAAATTCTATTTTTAAAATTAAAATTTCGTAAAGAGAGTATTACTATTTTATGCAAAATAATTTATTGAAATCTCAAATGACGAATTGTAAATTAATAAAATGCCACGTGTTTTTATTATCTAAGAAATAAATTTAAAACATTCAATTTATAATTTGTGTTGATTTTCGATACTTAATATTTTAATGACAATTAAATTCATTAAATTCCTAACATATCTTTCTTTTTCCTTCCCTCTACGTCTCGGAAATCTAAAGTTTTAGATTTGTATAAATATGAACAGGACTTAAAAATTAGTTTGCCAAAGAAGTTTCACTTCTGAAATGTGGACTTTGTACGCACGCACTTTTTTATTTTATAAAAATCCTGGTGTCGCAACATAAGGGTTTATAAAATGGCGCAATGATTTTGAAATCGCTATCCTTATTAGGAGTTCGACTACAGTGCAGATTTGTACAAATTTTATTCCAATGCGTAATTATTGACGTAAAGGAAAACATTTTTATTTTTAACACGGGCAGGAATCTCATCTGATGTTAAGTGATACCCATAGACAGTGCCAGAGGGCTCGCAAGTGGGTGCCTTTTAAGAATTGGTACGCTCTTTTCTTGAAGGTTCGAGATGAATTGGTAAGGACATCGGAGGGTAGCTGGTTCCACATCGTGATAAAGACATCAAGAATATGTCTAACACGTGGTCAGCCAACTGACGATTATTAGTAGGTATTCCACCGATAATTACAAAAAAAAAATCAATGGCGCTACAACCTTTTTAGGTCAGGGCCTCAGATTTCTGTGTCTGTTTCATGGTCATTTGTTAATCTAATAGGCAAGAAGGTGATCAGCATCCTGAGCCAGACACGCCGTGACTTTTTGGGTCTAACGCAAGCCGGTTTTATCACGATGTTTTCCTTCACCGTTCGAGCGAATGTTAAATGCGTACATGGAAAGTCCATTGATGCACAGCCGGGGATCGAACCTACGACCTCATGGGTGAGAGTCACACGCTGAAGCCACTAGGCCAACACTGCTCCTTCTAATTATAAATCCCCTCGCAACTTGACAAAACATTCAAACGAAGGGTTTATTGTGTTTTTACTCAATTAACGAAAATAGCTATTGCTGCACAACGGTAAGGAATTTGTCGTAATGTATGTCAGACATAAAATATTACCAGATAAAATAGATCCATAAATCTGTGGTCTAGACTTGTATAATTATAGACAAGTAAAAACCTTTTTGCAGCCCCCTGTTACCATTGATTTTATTTTCGCGCGTAATTAACTAGAATTATATGAATTTCTGGCTGGTAATAAAAAAAAATTGACATATAATAATAATTAATACTTACCAAAAACAATAACCACCTTGTCCATTGCACATTGACTAATACGTTATATCGAAGATTAAACACCTGTTTGATAACACTGATTGTATTTTTCAAATTATCAATAGATTACGTATTTGTAACAATATATACGATTCACACGGATATACTCGTGATATCAGTCTTGAGCTTCCACAAAGCATAGAAAGCTATAGTAAATATATTAATTATATGTTATGTCATGTGATATGAGGTTTATTTGGTGGTTAAAAACAGTTCTGCGCCCTTGATTTGTAGAAGAAGTTTTAAGAAATTTGACGTTCATGTAGATTGTCTTACCTTAATAATAAAAACGTAAAGATCGAGAAAGAGCGTCTGGTAAATACCGGTACCCCAGAGCTGGTGCTTTCCTCGCTCAACGAATAAGTATCACAATACAGCGAGTATTGTAAAGGTACACTGCCACAGGGACCAAACTTTTTAAATTTGTTTATTTTAATTTATTATTATTACTAGAAGAATATTGTAAAAACTGTATGTATGTTGGAAATAAATCTATTTATTAACTTAAATAATAATATGATAATTAACATAATACTTATCATAAACACTTCGTGATTAATTTAAACCTCCAACTGGCTTTCACAACCTGAACGATAAATTATTAACACCTAACTTAATCTATCATAGTTATATTATCAAGTATAAATTCTTCAAGTCTTGGCCTCCTAAGACTCTTCCAGCGTTCCCTGTCCTGTTCCACCACCCACCACTTGCTGGCTTTCAGCTGCAGTAGGCCCTTGACCGCCCGATCAAGGCCCATGACCTCATGGTGCCCTAGCCCTATAGTATTCGCTTATAATGTTGGGCTACCAACTCTTCTATTATGTTAAAACAAAAGTAAAATGATTAAAGTATAAATTATGTAAAGTATAACTATAAATTATGTTCAAAGACTTTGGACAAAGACGGAAAAAACTCCCCAGGTGAGGACTAGCATATATTCTTTGAGCCTATAGAGTATTTAAGAAAGACAATTTAAAAAGTAAATATACATACTTGCAATTTATACACCACTAGCTGACCCGCCAAACGTCGTTTTGCCATGTATATTATTTCTAAGAAACATTTTTTTAGTTTAATAAAAATTACTACACTCAAAATCTGCTATAACGACATCGAAGGGACTACTCATATTTCGTCGTAAAAACCGATTGTCGTAATAGCCGATGACGTTGTTATTAAGAACCTAATACAATAGAATTCAGCCGGGACCTTTGATTTTGGTCAATATAACCGGTATGATGTTCTAAAAGATGTCGTCGTAAACGGTTTTGACTGTATCAATAATAAAAAATAGGGATTGATCGTAGAGGGGTGAAAATTAGGGGGTGACCTTCCTGAGTGCTTCAATACAATTGAGGTTAACTATCCGTATGTATTATCGAGTATTATTGTTGATTAAAACTGAAACATGAACCATTATTTTAATTTTTTTATTGCTTTTGTTTATTGCGTTTGTTACAGCAACTTTTTAGAAATATTCTACGACCCTATATATCAATAATTGAGAACAAAGATTTAAGCACGAATACTAATAAGGAGAAAATGAAGGCTTGGAGCGATATAACAGAGAAGTAAACATTTTAATAAGTACCTGCATCTCAAAAAAATGACCACATTATTTAATCAAAACATCAGATTTAATCTAGCAAATATAAGGACAAGAGACAAAAAACAATTGATGAATCAGTGGAAGTGCACTAAATTGAATACAAAAAAGAGTTGTCATCTTATCGCCATGAAACATCAAAAACTGGAGGTGGAACAAAGCCACCATCACCTTCTCGAGACACAATGGTTTGAAGTAGATTTCAATGAATTTGATTGTGATGGTGTCGAGGTAGGAAAGTTAATTATAAATATGATGTATGGTGATGTTCAAGGTTCAACCTTTCAAGCATAGGCATATGCTTACAACATTACTTTATTCCCCTACAGGGTAGTTAGAGATATTGTAATACCTCAAAACATCCATGTTGCACTTGTAGTACCGAAACTCTGTCCTGCCAGAAGTGAGCCCATTCCCACTTATAATGGACAGTGGGTATAATACACCTTAATACCTGAGTGCGAACCACTCACCATGATACTTAAATTAATAGATGTTATTTATATATTTCAGGTTATTACAAATAAAATCATTTTGGAAACAATTGATATCCCAAAAGCAAATAAAGCCAACAATGACAAGGTAATAAATCAGTTTTGACATAACTTGAATACTAAAAAAGCCAAACAAAGGTGTGCACAACAGTGACAACATAACTTAACAATTTCATTATTTTGTAGGATTAAAGAAAGGTTAAAGAAAATCATGTCGAACTGAACAACAAGAATCCCCAAACAACTCCAAAGAAACCTACAAGGAAGACACCGGTATTATATTTAAATTATCTCTATCTCTAAATAGAATAAAAGAATTGCTATCCAGGTCTGTAGCATGTGCTACAAATTATATTATTAACACATTTATATAATTATATTAATATAAATGTGTTAAAAATTTATAATATGAATTATACAAAAATTTAAGTTTTGCATGGACAGAGCTTAAATTAATATTCTCTTATTTGTTGCAGAAAGCAAGTAGTTTTGGAGAAGCCTCGTAGATGCACAACCAAGTAATGATTAATTTAAAATTACAAACCGAAATTCTGATGAAGACATTAGAGTCACTTAAAAATAAATAGTATAATGAAATAAAAATGTTTTAAAGATAAATAGTGTTTTATTTGTTTAATGTAAGAGAATAATAATAAATATTTATTTAATTAATTTTTCAAATGTAAACTGAACTTTATTGACTTTAATGACTCCTTTTCCAGTCTTTGATTATTTAATTGTAATTAATTATTTGCATGCAATCAAAAACTATTTTTAATAATGCCAAAGAAGTATAATCTTCTTACGCGCGTACATAAGTACACGCACCCTTTTTTTATCAAAAAAATAAATATTAAATTTAGGAATGGAACACCCTTAACATTTAAAAGAAAGAACATTTTGAAGATACATAGTAAGCGATTCTCAGACTAACTGATTATGCATAACAAATTTCATAAGAATCGGTCGAGCCGTTTCGGAGGAGTATGGGAACGAACGTTGTGACACAAGAATTTTATATATTAGATTAAAAAGTCTGACGTTTCATGTACATATCAAGCATGGCCACGCTTTGAGTGAAATATTAAATTATTATATAATTAAGATATTAGAAAATTCGCGTTTTAATTTAGGATGATAATAAAATTTTATTGGTGGCATGGGTAAAGTCGCGCCGATAATTACACATTTTATACCCATGTGTTAATCTATTTAATTGTTTTAACAATAAAATCTAAAGTATTATTACACTAATAACTAATCTCTGATTATTCAAAAATATGGCTAACATTGTGGAAAGTATCATACTCTAATAATGATATTATTATTTTGGACGACCTAAAAGATATTGTATATAATCACGAATAAATTAAAATCCAAACGAGGCCATCTGTCGCATTTTTAAAAAATCAATGTAAAAGGTTTAAGAAAGCGCCATCTATGTTATCAAAGTAGACGTTTAAATAGAAGAATAATTTATTTGTTTAAGCGCCATCTGTGTAACAATGCACGAACTAACGTCAGTTTATTTGTCGTTCGAATATTGTAACATGAGTTAACAGTAATCTTTAATGTCGACCTAGAGAAAATCATATTATTTGCCGATGAATTAATTAAGTTGGAATGTCAAGCCCTGTACGTCACAAACTTATTTTATTATTTAACTATCCATATTTTTTAGAACTTGAAAGTGTGAAATTAATGACCAATGTATTCGATGCTTTTGGCAAGACTTTTTGGTAAGATAAGAAGATCCATAAGAATACAAACAAATATACAATTTTTCCGGTAAATTTGGATATTCCAAAATAGTTTAAAGGTTCATTTTCTTACCTATATCAATATAATATACATATATCTAAGTTCAATAGAATCCTGTAATATAATATTTCTATTCGCATTCACTTTTCCCTATAATAACAATAAATATTTAGAATAAAATCTGAATAATAACGTTATTCATTAAAATGGATGTCTCTGAACAGTTATTATTGTTAACTAATTCACAAACATTCAGTATAATTAACCTACATAGTTGTAATAACAATACTTAAATATTAATAAATAGAAAATTAAAACAAATAAAATATATTATTTACACCTTTTATTTTGTATTTTCACATACCATATCAACTGGTTCCGTGGTGTAGTGGTTATCACATCTGCTTTACACGCAGAAGGCCGCCAGTTCGATCCTGGCCGGAATCATATCTTTTTTATTTTTAGTATACACAATTTCTGTGTGTTATACGCGTAACATTTAAATTTATTTATATCAAACAACAATTTTATTTTTATTTACATTAACCGAGGCTGCTTTGAAACCGGATTATGTGGCTAGGTGATCTATTCATAGAGTAATGAAATATAGAATTCGCGGACGGTAATAATTTGTACTTTTATTTTTATAATAATAATATTGAGTTTAATGCATTATATTATAATGCATTATATTAATATGGGATAAAACTAAATATTGTAATAAAATAAAATACTGTTCAATTTCACATGAAAAAATGATAATTTTACAAGAAAACCACTTTTAAAGATATACTTTTGTGTTTAAAGATATCTTTTTTAAATACTATAGCTGTATAATTCAAGAAGGGTTTTGCAGCTTTACCATGATCTCTGGATTTTTTAAATACCTGGATAAACACGATTAAATATGGGGTTTTATCGAAGCACATTAATAAATTTAATTTGGCACAGATTAGATGTATAGGTAATGACCAAAACGCGTGTTGGCGCAGTTTATGGCGCTCGTACGCCAAAACTATTGACTTTGAGAAAAAAGTTAGGACGTAAATTGTAGGCAATTGTCTCTAAATTTATTTTGTGTATATTTGTTTCATTGAAAAATGAGTCGGAATAAGATGTTGT